ATATATGTATATATGTATGTATATATATATATATCTTTTATATATTAAATAAGAGTTCTTAGGTGGCTGCCCCTTATCTCCCTTGCATTTTATTAGGTGGGTGAGGGGGGCTGGTTTTCTTGGTCTTTTATATTTCTGGCTTCTTTAGTGTTTTGTTAACTCTTCTTGATATGTTCTTAAGATAATTGTGTTACCTGGTGCCTCTCTGTAGCTTCTCTCTCTTTCCTTTGTCTTTTTGATTGCTCTAACTGCAGAGTCTATGTATAGAGGCAGAAACTGCCTTTAGTAAGGTTTTCTATTTTTTTTTTGAAGCTTACTGAGATTCTATTCTTTTTTTCTTTTTTTTTTTCTTTTTTTGCTAATGGCTCCCTGTCCCTACAATGGTTCAGAATCCCAAGGGAACAGGACATTTTTCTCACCTCAAGCCCAGGCATGAAGCCACACTACCTAGAAAGCCCCAGCAAATGCCCTTCCTGGCTGCAGCCTCTCCAGCAACACACATCAGGCCTCTAGGGTTACAGATGCAAGAAGGAAGACAAGGAAAGCAGGAGAGTGCAGAGAAAATATCCACAGTTGAAAAGAGATTGGAGCTTCTGTACTCATGGCTGTCCCTATGATCCCCCAGCATCAACAACAAAACTACCAACCTGGGGTCTCAGTCTGCACTCTACTGAGGCAGAAGCTTCCAGCACTGTATTTCCCAAGCTTCTCAGGGATGGTCCTGTGTGTTAAAGCAGCACTGATTTGCTTAGTTTTTCTGTGGATCTATCAGACACCTCTGCAGTGGGCACTGATCTGCTTGGTGCTATAGTGCAAGGCTGAGAGAAAAACTAAAAGACAGAACTAAAGAGACAGAGAAATGGGGAGCCAGGATGGTCAATGCTGAGCAACCAGCAAAGGTGCTGATCAGTCCAAGCTACTGATCTTAATTGGTAATCAAAGTGGGGTAAAGTTGAACTACGTGTGAGTATGTGCAGTCATGGAGTTGCTATTGATACTAATGCAGACAAGGCTTGTAAAGGAAAAAAACAAAGGATTTTTGAATTAGGAACAGAATAGAAAAAATATAGGGTTGTAATTAGAACCTTGTCCTTCTAGTTAAGATTTAAATTGTGGGAATGGAATTTGGTTGCAAGTCATGCTGACCTTGGCATGTAGACTTTGGCTGGACTTGCTTTGAAAAACAAGCCAATTGTGGGGTTAACTCTTTACAGCCTGCTTTGAGCATAATCAATAAGGTGGTCCCCCACATGGATCTGTCCAAGGGACAAGGACAAGATTCCAAGGCCCTGGCCATATCTATCTGGAGGGAACCTGAATTTGTGTGTTAAGCTGAGTTCCCTGAGGAATTGTGATGCCCACCCAAGTGGGAGACCCTGCTTCTTACAAGTGAGAACACTGAACATCAGACACACACACATACACACATGCACACACACACATGCAACATGCACATGCAGAGGGAGATAGATCAGGTATTGACAAGTAGTATTCTAATCTAATCTATATATATTGGTTTCCCTTGTCACTGTTTCAACTCTGTCCCCGGTCTCTGAATCTTGTGCCACTGCCCCAGTACTGGGCTGGCTGTGGACTCTGCCCAGGTCATTCCCCTTGGCAGCAGCCCTGGCTCTTCTCCTCTGATGCTCTTGCACTGTGAGTCAGTGAAAGAAGACCCTCCAGATGCCCAGGATCAGCACAGCCTAGGATACCTCCTTCTCTATGAAGGGAGCAAAATTCCTGTATGGGGCCAGTTTTCTGGGAGAAGAAAATTGTAGGTTTCAAGTATTGTTTGAGGTGAGGCTCATGAAATGAAAAATGCAAATCAGAGAGCAAATGCTATTCCAAGTCCTGCTGTTGCTAACTGTAGTGAAGTTTTGTTTTTAAGAATTCATTTAATCTTTACGGTTATGAATCTAATGTATTTCACTGTAGAAAATAACAGAAAGTAGGAGGAAGAGTCTGAAATTGTCATAATCACATCTCCCGAAAATGCCTTTCTCACACTTGCCACAACTACTGAAGTCTGTGTCTGAGCAGCTCTGTCTCCATCATGGCTGTCACACCACTTGGCCTGATTACAGTCAGCTTCATGTCACTGAATGAAACCCAGTGATCCTTGGCTCATGTCCTTTCTCCCTCCCATCTGTCAGCCTGCTGAATTGTTTCTTGTGTCCCCACATTCTTAGGCAGCTGTGTCCTGGGCTATTTGTGGTTTCTCATTTTCCCACCGCATTGAGCATCCTGTAGGGCAGTTGGTCTTCATGTCTCTTCCATTGTCTTTGGGAGCCAGCTCAGAAGTGCAAATGTGGATATAAATGTTAGAAATGGTGCAAGAATGTTCATGTGCAGGAAAGAATTGCTCTCTAGGAACACTATTTCCCCAAAATGACCCCTGAGCATATCATTTCCTGTACATGCCTCTGTTTCCCTGTGAGTATGGCAAGTTACACAATTATGCTGGCCTTACATTGTGGTTTCATTTTTTCTCCATATGTTGATTTTCATTACAGTGTAGATGAGCTTTCCTGTGTTTGACATTTCTCTTTCTGTGTTTGTGTGTGAAATGACACTTCTTTTCTCTTCCTGTTTTTCTACCAATGTATTTCTTTTTTACTGTTGGTGTATAGAAACTCACCGTACAATGATATTGTTCTCTAGTTTGATATCTTTTTAGTTTTAGTTTTGTTCTTATAACTTTTAGATATTCAAATGTATTTTTACTTTATCTTTAAAAAAATACTTGAGTCATTTTACAAAATTTTTATCTCATCCTCCCTTGTCACACCCTCAAGAACTAGTTTCCCCCAACTATCTCATCAGTGTAATAAAGGAGCATATAGGGCTGAGGGGATATGTGAAAAAGAATGGTGGCAAATGGGGATGACTTCTTCACATGTCACAGCAGACTAGAAAGCCCAACCAGGCACCATCACTCACTACTGAAGATGCCAGGATGCTGTAGGAGAGGTGCAGCTGCCTCAGAGCACTACTCTGGGTGCAAATCACAGCCCCAGTCATAGCCCCTGTCCTACTGAGAGCTGGATCCACCTGTAGCCACACAGCCCTGGAAAGCCTGGCTTCACTGTCAGGTCCTTGAAATGGATCTGGTTTGAGAGCTGAGGCTAAGGACAAATGAGGTCAGGGAACCAGGACTGCCTGCCAGCCACCCACACTCTTGGCTATCTGTGTTTCTGGTCATTTCAGCTCCAGTGCAGGACATGATTGATGCAGCAGCTGGATATGGAGGACAGCAGAAGAATGTGGTGCCAGTGATATTTCCAGGGGCCTAGGGGCTGAACAACTCTGGCAGGAGGGAATCTCCCAGTAAAGAAAAGGCCCATGTAGAATTTGATTCATGCAAGGAAATTTACTGTTTCTTTTCAAAATCATCTACTGTGTGTTCTAATACCACATATTCATAATCACGTTCTGTAGGTAATTTTCTGTGATCTCAAAGACCATGTTTATTGTACAGAGCACACATCTGTATTCATTGACAAATATTCCCTGTTTTTTCTATTTTATCCTCTATATTTGTTTTGCTATTTTTACATCAGTGGTATCCTACTTAATGTGACATCATTTCACATCTAACTTCAACCATCTTTCAGAGGAACTGTATCCACCTCATCTTCCTTTCAGTCCTAAAATTCCCCTATTGAGATTTGCTTGTGCATTTACTCATCTCAACTAAATGATGTGGATCACATGCTACTTCCCTGTTCTACCAATTTCAACCTAGATTAGTGGTTGTGTCCAGGCAGCCATCAGAGATGCCCTTGTTGGTGTTGTGTATGTACTCAGTCATGGAGAGCTTATCACAATGCTCAAAGCCCTGGCTTTGATGTCCAGAGCCAATGTTATTATCTGTTTGTTTCTTCTTTGCAAAAATCTTTTTGGTATATATCTTATACTCTGAGTAACTACTTTGAAGATAATGATACACTATTGTTCTTCTCGCATTATTTTGTTATTAAATTTTGTTTTATTTTTTCATAAAAAAGAATAAAAATGAAACATAAAAAGGTCTTCATCATCTACAAATGAAAATTCTGAGCCTCATGGTCTCTTTTTTAAATTAATTTTTTATTAGTCTATGTTTGTGATAATAATTATATTTGTGTTTGGGAAATTGTTACATCTCTAAAAATAATCTATGTTGCAACCTGCCTATTATGGTTTATTTCTAGTTGTCCTCTCAAAGTTGCAATCAGCAAAAGGTGGGGGTTTTGCAAGGTGGTTGGATTATTTGGGTTTATAGCTGACTTGTTAGGAGGTGGGGTCTGGGCAGAAGAGGCAGGTCACTATGGGTGTGACCTGGAAGGGTTTATCTCCCTTTTAGCTCCTCCCTTGATCTCTCTCCCTGCTTCCTGGCCACCATGACATGAGCAGATTTTCTGCACCTCAGGCCCTTTACCATGCAACTGACCATGCAAGGACTGAAACTGCTACAAACTTTTAGCCAAAAATAAGCCTTGTCTCTTTTAAATTGTGGGTGTGGGTGTGGTGTCTCAGTGATGAGGAAAGTGACTAAGACATTGCTGTAACCTGTCTTTCTAGTCTTATGTCCTGTCTCTAATTGTGTGTCCTTTTCTCCTCATGTCTTTGTTCTTCAATTGTGTGTCAGTTCCTGACTGCTTCCAATTTTGTGTTCTTTCCCTTCTATGTCTTTGTCCATTTTTGTTGTTTTTAAAACTTCTCTTGCCCATCCTCATTCTTTGAAATTCTATAAGCTTTGTAAAACAGCTGAAACATCTTCTGATTCTCAAGGGTTTCCCAAACTTCCTCTGTAAATAAGAAAGCACACTGCCATTGCAGCTGTGGGATTCTTGACACATATATTCTTTTGTCTTTTGTTCACTCAGTGATGCTGGAGGGAAGAAGTTCCACCTTTATCACCACTTCCCAGAGCCCTACATGGAGACCTATGTGTGATCTGCAGTCCAGGTAGACATTGAATCCACTCACTCTCTACCATGTCTTTTCTTACATTTCAGAAGGCTCTCCTGGGAGGCCTCCTGTTCCTGGTCACATTTGTGATGTCATGCAGTGCCCACTGCTTTACCATACCCATGGTGAGAGGTGAAGGTGACTCCTCTGCTAGTAAGTTGATTTTCAGTGTTTATCAAGTCACTGGTAGATAGGATTGGGTGGCAGGTGGAATACTTTGAGTCTACATTGGAAGGTGAGTGAGGGAAGATACAGAAAGTGAGTCAAGTGAGGGTCTTCAACTTGGCCTGCATGTAATACAGTTGTTCTCAATTCTGTCTGGCTGAGAGTTGCCTAGAGATCTTTTGAAATTTACCAATGCTCAAACTCCATCTAAGACCCACTTAATGAGAATCTTTGTGGTCAGAGCAGCACATTCATCAGCTTCTTGATTAACTCCCACATCCATTCAGGGTTGACAAGCACTTCTGATTCCAAAGAGGTGACAGACTTTGATGGTCATGCATAGCGCAGGGAGTTTTCTTGACCTGCAGGTGCTGATTCAGGTGACCTGAAGGCAGATGTGAGAGTTGCCTGTTCGGAGAAGCCCAGGTGATGTGAGGGTGGGAGTCCTGCAAGCACACATGGGCACCAGGTCTCAGCAGTGGTACTCAATTTCTGGGGGAGTGTCCTGAAATGATGGTGTCATAGGGCCGCACCTGGAGATTTTGATTTCCATGTTTCCTGAGATGTTCACAGGTGCACACAGAAGTGACAGCCAGAGCAAAAAGAAGCAAACTAAAAAAGTACAGAAGTGGGGGCTTTATTTAGAGACACTTGACCAGGTGAAAGTGGGCTTCCAGTACATTTAAAGAGGAAGGCCTTAGTTATTGTTGAAATGTCTATTTTGAAGTAAAATATAGAAGGATTTGAATTTGCTTTCATAGATGTTACCAGTTTCATGGACCTTGAAGTACTGAAATTTAGCTGGTGGGAAAATAAAGAAGCGTTGTAATATATGCCTTAAAAACTGTGGCTTATCTCATGGAAGGGCCAGGCCTCAGTGCCCTAACAGCCATGTTCCTGTTGCATGACTTGGGGATTCCACTAACGGTGCTATGTTGATTTTTTTCAGAATGCAAGGATCTTGATGAAATCACACACTCAATGAACTCAGAGTGGGAGACTAGGAACTGTGGCAAATGTTCTTGTGATGAAGATGGAATTCACTGCTGCACTATGTGAGTCTTAATTCAGTAGTGGCCAAGGGGGCAGCTGGCTGTCTCTAAAGAGCAGCTCCTCTGTCATTTAAAATCCCATCTTTTGGTTATTCTCATAGAATTTATTTTGCATAGCAAGTTTAGACTCACAGTAACATGGAGCAGAGAAAGAGCTCTCCCACTGGTGCCCTTTCCCTATACACATAGCATCCTTACTGTCAATACCTCAGAGAAGGTTCCAAGAACTTCCTTTCAGAGCCTGGATCCAAACATGATCATCACCCGGAGTCCACAGTGTCTACATGACAGTTCATTCTGGATGTGGTGGAGAGTTGTAGTTCTCAGTCCTATACCCTGTACAGATCAAGTGCATTTAGTACACTCATACTGTTGTGCAACATTCCCCCACTCATCTGCAGTCCTTTCATCTTGCTCAAGTAAAACTCAGCACCCACACAGCCATCACTTCTCTTCCCCTGTTCCCCAGCCTTTGGCTACCACCATTCTTCTTTCTGCATCTATGAGGGTCACAGCTCTATGGCCTCATATACCTCCATCCATTAAGTATTTGACTCTTGAGACAACTTTACTGAACCTAGCACGGTGTCCTCGAGGTTTATCCTTGCTGTAGTATGTTAGAATATGCTTCCTCCTCAGGATCCATAACAATGTACTGTATGAATAGAGCACATAATGCTTATCCTTCACCTGTGGATGGGCATTTGGTTTGGTTCTGCCCTAGTTTTATTTCTCTTTAGCTATTAATTATATTTATTCAGAAATACCCATATGCATATAGGTTTTTGAGGACAGGAAACTGTTTCCAATAGTAAGATGCTTTTCTAGAATTTGGTCTGATGGTTACCATTACTTTGACCTTAAAGGATTTCCAGAATAGGAGCTCTGTGAACAAAGGTAGAGAGAAAATGTGGGAGGGATCAGTGATGATCTGTAGCATTCCATATCCTATAACCCTGTGTTCCTTTACTGCTCACACTGAACTCAAAGCAGTCATGGGGTTTGCAGATGTTTTGGCTGGGATTTTAGGGATCTTAAAGGTGTAGTTCTTGGGGGGATAAGAACAGATACCTGCAGCCATGTTTATATCAGGAACCCTACCCCCTCACCCCACCATACACCTGATGTCTTCCTGTCAGTCAGGCCTGGCTTATAAAGTTTTCCAAGAACAAAAATAGTGTTTGTTTTCTTATGTTTTTGAAGTGCTGGGTAGGAATCCAGGACTCAGGCATGCTAGGGTGGTACTCTACCACCAAGCTTCATGCCAGCCCAACAGGAGTATTTGCTGACAGAAGTGTTGGCGTGAAGTGGCATTTTCCAACCTCACCTCTGAATCTCATTGTAACCAAGATTCTCAGAGAGTCTTATATATCAATCCTAGTAAATACAGGAATGGGCAGGTGACTTGAAGAGAATGCCTGAGCACTATGACAGAGTGTCTGGATGGCTCAGCATGGTGGCTAAGCAGCCTCATGGTTGCTGCACAGAAGAACAGGAGGAGAGTCCTATGACCAGACTGGGAGAAGTGTCCATAGCAGCCTTTCAGGCATTGCAATGGCTGACTGCTACCTGTTACAATTCCACTTTGATTTCCTGGCCTTGCAATTGACCTTGTCTTTGTAGTAAGTGACACTGGACTCTCCAGTGTGGTTTTGTCTCAACCATGTCGAGGGCTGGTAAACCACTCTATTTTTATTTTGGGTATAGCACAACACTGCTTTGGTTCAGCTTCTCTGGGGTAATATTTGGACCCACAGGACCCTCTGCAGGATACTGCCCAGGTGCCCATTTGCTCCATGTCTGCAGGCCCAGGCTGAAGCTCCCTGGGAAGGGCGATGGCCTTGCTTTTGCTCTGCTCAGGCCCAGCTCCCAGACTGCAGTGAGGAAGACAAAGGCCCAAGGTCATCCAACTTCCAGTTCTGGGCATCTGATCACCTAATATTTCTGATGTTCTCTCAGTCTTTCTCAGCTGCTTTCCTTCCCATCCTAGGTCTGGGTGGAATTAAAGTTGCATCTAGTAATGGGCCCTGTATTCCAGAAACTTGGTCCTTTACACAGAATTTGCATTTTTGTTGCCTACCAGACACTCCTAAAAGGTTAGGTGCCCTTCAGTAATCACTACTTTATTTTAAATTATTTTCTACTGCAGGAAAATATACATTACATACAAATTTCAAATTAATCACTTTCAAGTTTACACTTCACTGTCACTGAGTAACATTCACATTATTGTTTAACAATCACCATTATTTCCAAAATTTTTATAGTAATTTGTTTTTAGTGGTACTTTGGATGAAACCCAGGTTTGCTCTATACTGGCCTTGAACTTTTTGATCCTTCTGCCTCACTGTCCCAAGTAGCTGGTGTTATAGGTGTATCCTGCAATTACTGGCTTTTTCCAAGAGTTTTTATTAACTTCAAACCAAAAATGTGTACTTTAAGATGTAATTTCCAGTCTTCCTTCCTGGTTCCCTGGATATCATCTGTTTCGCCTTCTGTGTTGTTGATATTTCTCTTAGCAGCTTCTGAAGGTTCAGCGCCACTACTGCATGTTAGGGTTTCTTTCCTTCACACTATACCAACAACCCAGGGTACTGTCAACCCATGCTTAATTTCTTCATTTGCATGTGGATGGACTTCGGGATGAATGCACTTTTGTCTATCATTAGTAACACTGCTGGGAATATACAAGCGTTTTTTTAGCTCTGGGGCTCAGAGTCTCTTGGGGCTCTACACTGGTTATAGAATTGCTGGGCCATATGTAATTATGGATTAATCTTGAGGAGTTCTTGTGGTGTTTTTCTTTGTGGCTGACTATTTCATATTCACACCTGAAAACAGCCATGTCCAAATTTTAAAAGATTTAAAACAATATTTTGGTATATGTGTGAAGAAAAACATATTCATTATATAACTATTGGAAAGTACACCCCCCAAAACAATCCCCTAGCTTATTTGTCTAAAAGTAATAATCATGAATATTTTATCATAACTTCTTTTTCTTTTATATATCCTTTTGTGTAGTGGGTATCAAACTTCATTGTCATTTTGTGATCTGATTTGTCAAATTGATATCCCAGCATTGTCACTATTCCATCCAAAAACTTCAGGATGTTTTTCAGTGCAACATAACCAATTCTTAGTCTTATTTAAACCAGGATCTTAGAGGGCAAGAAATGATTCTTAAAGGGCAAGGAATGATTCACAGAATGACACCCACAGGGGTCTGTTGTTCTTTGTCCCCTTGGTCTGGTCACCATGAGAACACATCTGCCCTCCTCTTTAGTGGATTATCAAGGGCTACAAGTGCCAATACCCAGGGGGGAGTCAGTGAGCAATGAGGAACCACATTTCTTAGTATGGCCGCGAAGAGTATCACAACATCCTTTTTTTGTTAAATTTGAAGCCCAGCCTCATTGATGAAAGGAAACATTGTCCCAAGCTGCTTCTATCCACTTGGGGTAGTTTAAACCCAGGGACATGGAATGGGCTTCAAAAAGTTATGAGCATTAAGCTGTCTACAACACTGAGTGTGCAGTGGATTTTCCAAGAAGGTGACCCCAGTTTGATCATCTTCTGCCTAAGATCCATGACCCCGGGCTGGGATGGATCCTTGCTTTTGTTGCTGGAGTTAGCACCTCTAGTGACAGGAAGCCATACAGAGTGGAGAAAGTCCTTTCAGCCACAGCAGTACAAGCCACTTCTTGAATAAGGAGAGGTAGAAGGGCTGGGCTGGAAAAGGCTTCCTGGCCAAGTGTGTGGCAGACCTGCCCTGGGCCTATCAGAAAGCCTCCTGCCTTCTGTGCATGCAGGGAGGAGTGTGGGACCCATGGGAGAGCTGATCTGTGTGACTCTATTGTGCAGACAGGTCCAGGTCTCTGGGGATCCACCCTTGGGCTGCCACCCAAGGTGTGCCATAGATTAGTGAGGGTCAGTCCAGCCAGCAGAAGTGTGAGCTGTGCACACAGAGCTGGCTGGATGGCAAGTGGGATGGCTGGTTGTCCTTGTCTTTCTAACAGGCCTTAGTCTTCTCTCCATGACAGAGCTGTTAGACCCATGGGATATGACAAAATCAAGTGCTATTTATATTTCCATGAGTACAACTGCACCTACATTTTGGAAGACCACACAGACCTAGGAAAACTCTGTGAAGCCTATGGCTGGGTATTGTAACATCCTCCAGTGGGTCCAGTGTGCCCCCACTGGGCCCCCTCCTGTGGCCTCTAATAATCTATAATTGTGCAGCCCTCCTTAACATAAAATCATTCATGAGCAAACCCTTGGACACGTGTGTTCTTTGAATTTACTAATTACATTTGCAGTGACTGAATGGTGATTTCAAAGCACACAGATATTTGAAGGAGACAAAAATAAATACAAGAACATTGTAGCATGCTTCCTGCACTGCATTTGGTAATCATGTGTGGCTCCTAAGGGGACCATGGGCACCTCTGCCACTTGTCGTACACCAGCTTTCAGCTTCATATTTCCTGAGACCTTGTGGGTAAAGTAAAAATAATCTTCAAAGTGAAACCAGACCTCTTCTTAGTTTTCAGTGTTCATGTCCACACCTCTTTCTCTCCTTCAGTAAATGTCTTGGCTGCCCTGTGCCCAATTCCTCTGCATTTGCTTGAGGTCAGAGCAAGACAGGACAGGACAGGACAGGCTAAAGAAGTTCCCACAGGATGCCTGGTAGTCCCACCCACACAGGGAATCAAGGACAGGTTTCTCTGCCTGTGGGGATCTTGACCTGAGTCCAGGGCTCCTGGTTTCTCTTGCTGTGCACCAACCCCTATCACAGACTTCAAACAGTGACAACCCACATCTGCTTCATAGTGTTGGTGGTAGACAATACATACTCACTCTACCATGTGCCTGGGATCTAGCAGTGAATGGAGAAGTCAGGAACCTGCTATTCCAGGGCCTGAAGCAGCTGTGTACACCTGACAGACCTCAGATGAGCAGTCCCAAGACAACTGATACAGACCTCCATCCCCTAACCT